CTGGGGGTGTGGGTAACTGCAGCATCGCCCTCGCAGCCCCGGGGAGGGAAAGGGGTGTGCGACAGTAGAGGGACAGCTATGAAATACCAGCCGAGTGGTTTATTTCTATTGCTAGCGATCTTTAAAATAGCTGTAATGCTGAAGGGCTTCGGGGTGTTGTGAAAGTTGTTACATGTGGCATAATGAAGCGCTTGCGTAGCACTCTGTTAATCGCAAGTCTCGTTCTTACTTTCCTTGTAGTTCATCTGAAACTGGACGAAAGAAGAGAATGGATATGGGTAACCAACACCCATCCATAAAACGGTTGCATGAAATACAGAAAGAAGTCAAAGAGATTGAACAGCAAGTGGTTGTCTTCAGTGGTCTGTCTACCGATCGGGATTACAAGAAATTAGAAAGGAGTCTTACCAAACAGCTTTTTGAAATAGATTCTGTAGACACTGAAGGAAAGGGGGATATTCAGCAAGCCAGAAAGCGAGCTGCTCAGGAAACGGAGAGGCTGCTGAAGGAACTGGAACAAAATGCAAACCATCCGCGCAGACTGGAAATAGAGGCTATATTCAAGGAGGCACAATCACTTGTGGAACGTGAGATTACACCCTTTTACAAAGGAGGTAACTGTATAAGTGACGAATTTGAAGAAGGTATTCAGGACATTGTATTGAGGCTTACCCAGGTGAAAACTGGAGGGAAAGTTTCTTTACGCAAAGCAAGATACCGCACTCTGACAAAAGTGTGTGCTGTTCAGGAGATTATAGAAAGCTGTGTAAAGCAACAGCTGTCGCTGCCACTCTCTAATGATGCGCATCCTTCTGTCTCCAAAATTAACTCCGTAATGTGTGATGTGAACAAAGCAAGAGGAACTCTTATTGCACTTCTAATGGGAGTGAGTAGTAATGACACCTGCCGGCACCTATCCTGTGTGCTTACAGGCCTCATTGCTGATTTGGATGCTTTAGATGTCTGTGGTCGCACGGAAATAAGAAACTACAGAAAGGAAGTAGTGGAAGAGATCAATAAATTGCAGAAATACCTGGATTTGGAAGAAGAAGCAAATTCTACTCACGCTTATGATTTGGCACAAAATCAATCCATTCTAAAAATAGAAGAGATCCGCAAGAAAATGAAGGAAATTAATTCTTTACTTTTAAAAACAGAGAATGCTTCTGATTTGTATTTGGGATCCAAAGCAGAATTGCAGGGGTTAATTGCCCACTTAGATGAGGTGAGCCCAGGAAAGAATCCCTGTATTAGAGAAGCCAGGAGAAGAGCAGTAATAGAAGTTCAAACTCTTATAACGTATATTGATTTGAAGGAAGCACTTGAAAAACGGCAAATGTATGCTGAGCAAACTGCTGCTGAACATCAGTCTCATAAAGCAGTTTGGACTGTCCTTGGAAACGTGTCTCAAATTCAGCAGGAGGTGATTTCATTTGATGGAAACAGAACGGATAAAAATTACATGAGATTGGAAGAACTTCTTACGAAACAACTTCTAGCACTTGATGCTGTTGATCCACAAGGTGATGAGCGGTGTAAGGCTGCCAGAAAGCAAGCAGTAAAGCTCGCGCAGAATATTCTTTACTATCTGGACATGAAAACAGATGAATGGGAATACTGAAACAGCCATGGCCTAACATAGAAGAATGTTTTTTCCTTTCGCACTTTATGCAGATCATTGGAGGCACATAATAAAAGTGGTGTGTTCTGTGCTTGCTTAAATCACGGAGGTTGCATAAGCAGTTGACTTGGCTATATGTCTGCTATCCCACGCAGTCACCCACTTGCCATGGCAACTGTCAGTACACCATCAGCAATTCTGGTCTTTGCTATAAGCAAAAAGAAGTGTGATTCTCTGAAGGAATAGCTTAATACTTGATCAAATGGCCTTTTTTTTTTTTTCTGTTTTTGTTTTAATAACCTTGTGCAATGTTCAGTGAATGCAGATTTTTCAAAGATGCAGAAACTTCCTTATGATACAGTACTGGCAAAACTAAAGAAGACTGGACATGAAAATTAGTACTCAAGCTTGAGGCTCCATCCAGCAACTTCACAGCAGTCTGGATATGCTCTTAATGTGCTGTTACAGCAGCAAGTACGAAGTGCAAGAAAACCTGCTGGCTTTTGGGTTGATTTATTCCATCCATCACACCTTCCTGGGTGTTTAGATTTCACTATGATGCCAACTGCAAATTAGCATTTACATAGGCAAGACAATTATGTCTATTTTTTGTAATGTCTGAGCCCTCTGCTTTGCAAAAACAGGTCTTCTGTTGGTGGAAACTCTTTCAAATTACTGCTTTAAGGTAGTGAAGCTTGGAGAGGAACATCTGTATATTGACCAGATAAATGGGTTTTCGAGGATTTCACACTGCCATCCATAAACCCCTGAAAACTGCACTGAACTTTATTTAGTGGCTGCTTAGGTGTCTTTTTAAACTCTGCTGTTAGGTCTGGTTTTGACTTGTCATTTCACATTCGGTGAAAACAGAAACAGAATTCACTTTGAAGTGAACGAGCATTTTGGAATTATTTTTGTAAAATTAGGTAGCTAGCTCTAAAGATGTCCCTGATGATGTAAATGCGTGTTATATATTTCATACTGGTCAGGTGTGGCTTTAGGCATGTCTTGGAAAAGACTTGTGGCAAATGTCTCTCCTTGCAACTCATCACTTAATTGTTTTAGTTTGCAAATAAGCTTGCTTGTACTATTGTATGCACCTACCTTTTTATTTGTGGCTGCTAGTGCCAATCACATTTCTACTATAGCATGTTTTTTGGCATTTTTTTGAGAGCATGGCATTAAAATGAATTAATTATAAAGATATATTTAATTATGGATACTTTGCACTTAGCTCTTTCATGTTGAATTAATGAATTATTGTTCTGTAGATGATGATTTGCACCACTTTAAGGAGTAAAAACCATTTCGGATGTTAAAATAAATATTTTTAGATCTATTTTTGACTGATTAGAGAAAACAATACTGTCTGTGAGAGACAAGTGCCTTTATGACACCACTAACTTGTACCGTCATATGTAGATATAGGAACTGTTTACTGGCAGCTTGGTAGACTTGTAATCTTTGCAAACTGGATTTCTCACATATATCATTCTACTATAATATACGTCAAATTAACATAATACAATAGGTGTCAATTGTTCTATAGAGTCCCGAGAATGAGTATCAAATTTGGGAAATAACGATTCTGCTTAAAAACGAATGCGTTGATGTGGAGATGGGGGACTCTGGGGAGGTCTTCTGTGCCTATGATACGAGAAGGAGAGAAGATGCTTGCTCCATAACATGCTTTGAGATGTTGATGAAAGGCTGTGTAGTTTCAGAGTGTGAATATATTTTGTTTGTGATTGTACAGGTGATTGTTTTGCAAATTTACTTGCCAAAAATGATCTATTTTTTTCAGTTGAGTACAGTGCCTAAGGCACAATTTGGCAATGACAGAATGTTTGTCGGAGGATTCTCTCTGGTCCTTCGGAGGTACAACCCCATTCAGTTTGTCCCTCTTTACCTCAAAAAAATACTTTCCCCTAGTTAAAATTCCAATCTATATTTATATATTATGTGGCTAACACAGAATATTAATAAAGTTATACACCCGAATTATTTTACTCATTTCAAGCTTTATATACAGTTGAACTGCAACTTCTGATTTGCACTTATATTTTTAGGAAATACGAGAATTTGATAGTGTAATAATATTCATTTTTCTTTACATTTTTCTTTAGTATTACTTTCAGGACTGCAGTGGTTTCTTGTAGTTTGCTTAACAATTTTGTGTCCGTGTTCTTTGGAGGTTACGTGTAGCTTTATAAATGTTTGAACCTCTTATGTAAAAATGAGTAAGTATCATTTTCAGATCTGTTCTATTTTAAATTTGTATGTCTTTTAGCTTTTCTGAATGAATTGTTACGCCTGCTTCTCTGAGGAGGCAAATGTGTAAGGTTAGTGTAATTTTGACTAGCTGAGTAGAGTTCAGTAGCAAGATACTAAGTGGATTAAGCCTTTTCCCAGTGTTCTCTAATCTAATAAATTGACTATTTAAATTTTATGGTAAAATCCTCATCTGGATTAATTCACAGTTTTTGCATGAATGAAAATAATAAACTAAATATGCTTAACCAGAACCAATAATGCACAGATTTCTCAAAATCTTGCTTTTGTGCTGAAGAATGTAATTTCTCTGTTTTTTATATCCAAAGATTGAGGGACACACAACTTTTCTTTACGATATGGCAGGCTAAAATAATCAGCAAAATGTAAATGGACCAAGTTGCAAAAGCCTGCATTTTAGTACTATACTGAAATATAATAACTTTTCTGTGTGCTGTATATTCTACCCTAGAGCAAAATAAATAATTGGCTATTTGGGGTAGAGGTAATTCTACATCGTTATTCCTATTTGTTAATTGTATTTCTTTTTAAACTAGTTTTCTTTTGTTATTTCAGTGTTTATTTCTGTTGTTTACCACTCAAAGTGGTTTTTCTGTGTCACCAGTTTGGAGATTTTTAAGTATGATTCCTACTTTTTCAGTTTAACAGAAATTAGTGTACATGCTCCTTATGGTGTATATGTCTTGATTTATTGCTGTGTGGGATATGGCATTTGTATATACAAATTCAAGATTAAATATTGAAGTGTTATATTCTTGATTATTAATAAAAATACATTACTACATTTTACTAGGTATTCATTTGAATGTTATGCCCTGCTGCCTTTCTCTATTTATTTTTGAATGTGAGTTATCAGAATGTAAATTGTTTTTGTCTTAGAGAAAGTGTTTTTATTAAATATCTAGACATAAAGCGCTCTTTTTTTCCTCCTTCTTTAAAAGTTTGCTTTTTCACTGCTGTATTTATGACAATAAAGTTCTTTGCGTGGAAACCACTCCTACCTCTGCTTGCTAAATCTGCTGCCTTTTGGTTTTCTCTGCATTCAGTGTTGCGTTACAGTCATTGCATCGGTCGGTCTTTGCATTCTTTCTTCAGCGATAGCTTTGCGTACTACTGGGCTTCAGTTGGATGATTGCTGCAAAAATGCTTGTGGCTGTTTTAAGATCTTGCCACTTTTCTGTCGAAGGATGCTGCCTTAACAGATGAGCTTGCAAAACTGACGGTGTGAAGTGTCTTCATGTGCAAAGTCAACGTGGATTAAAGAACCTTCAGTAGGAGTTAAGCTAATCTGGTTTTAAACTGTGTAGATGAGGCGTGTTCACGATTGTTCTGATGGCTCAGTATGTTTTCTCAAGATGCAGTGAGCCAAGTTATCAGCTCACTGCTGATGGAAATCAGAAAATCTATTTCTGCCCAGAAAGCTGCTGGCTTTGTGCAGTTTCTGCTGCTTGGCCAACTCCTATGAGCTGATTTAGTCCAATAAAACGGCAGAAAACAAACTTAAAAACGGAGGAGGGAGTTTTCTGTGGGTTCAGTGAGTCAGATTGGTTTGTAGAAAAGCTTCATGGGGGCCACAGCTACTGCAAAATGAATGGGTGGGTCATGTGGCCACAGGTTAGGGAGCAAATGTTAAGATTTTCAGTAGCAGTAAGTCATTAGATCAACCTTCTGCATAGTTAAATTTCTGGAGGAGAAAGAAGGAGAGAAGGTGGCACTATCAACTCCTACAGACAAGTAGGAATTTGCTGCTTTAGGAATGGGATATGATGAAGGCAACACAAATGAATCATGTATGGAAAATAAACCAGTTGCTTTCAGTTGCTCTTTTGTCTTGCATAGGAAGCATTCAGGCGATAAAAAGCACAAGTACAATACACAATCTGGAAAAATCTTACCCAGAAAGTGCCGAGTAAGAATGCTTATAGAGGTTGAAAGTTTCTATAGGTAAGAAGTTTACTGTATCTTCTTTCTCTGCCTTTTAACAGTATAGCTTATTTGAAGGAAATATATTCTTCAAAGACCAGTACATGGTCTGGGCAGTGGCCCTGGGTGTTGCTCAGCTACCTGCTGACCTGTTTGTCTTGATCAGCTGTTTACTCGTCAAAGGAGAGAATTTGCCTTGCTGAGAATTTGTGTGTTTGGGACAGGCAGATTTTGGTGCCTGAAATGGTTTAACTGGAAAAACTCTGTGTTTTATTGCCACGTAGGCGTATCTTCTCCTTTGGAGAATTCTCGGCTGAGAACTTGAAGGAGCAGAAGGACTTCAGCACTGAACTCATGGATCAAAGGCCTGGGGGTTTAAGCTGGCTGCCAGTAGGAGACATTTAAATGGCAGGATCCTGGAAAACATGCCTGCTGGATGAAACTGCTAGCAGAGACATGACCAAATGTTCAGAGCTGATGTTTTGAGCGAGCCCTGTGCCTGTTCCCCTGTTGCTTATGAGCTTCATTGAGACAGTGGATTCTTGGGGGAATATTCCCTGAAATACTGTCAGCCTTTTTGTTTTAGGTCAAACCGAGCAATTTAACGCTTTTGCTGAGCCACAGTGGGGCACGTGCTAGTTGTTGACTGGTCTGGATATCATTCTGTTTTGGTACGTGGAACAATAATGTACATAATGCTTTGAGTTATGTTAGTAGGCATGTCCATGTCAGCTGAAAGCTGGTCATTAACTGAAGGAGCTGCGGATGAGGTATGCTTTTGTTGAAGGCTTCGCACAACGCTTATCCTTTCTCTCAGCAGCAGTTGGTTCTGGGGACTGCCAAACAGAGATCAATGCATGAGTTGCACTGCTTGTAAGTTCAAAAA